CTAAGTTAGAATTTCCCAGCATCTTATGTCCATGATGCAAGCTTCTAGGTACCACTTCCAGGAAACATAAGGGATTTTATTTATTTTTGTAATAAATTCTTTCTGTGTAGCCCAAACTGTCTTCAAATCCACAGCAGTCGCCCTGCCTCAGCCTTCGTAGGCCAAGAGTTCAGACATACATTACTATGTCTAGTTTCTTCATTTAAGTGACCAGAGTAGCTGCTCTTAAAAAGGAGATAAAGGCCTTTAAAAAGCTCTAATGAGGATTTAAACATATCCATACAAGCATACCGAATATTGGATTCTACAGATGAGTCACTTGTTTATATGGAGTTATTGGATTTTTGCAGGCATAGCACCTCAGTGGCTTTCATATGGCACACTGGTTTGTGACTAAGGGGTATATGCAGTGCAAGCCAGCCCCTGGTTCCTGCTCTCGACTCCTCTCCAGTTAGATCTCAGTTGTCTTACAGCCTCAAATATTGGTGATTTCCAGGAATGTTAATGCTCCTTTCTAGCTTTGAAATGCTATATTCTGCAATTTTTTGTCAGTCATGAGGAAAAGTCAGTGCCTCTTTCCCACCCAAAGTCCTTATTGTACTGCCTGTGAAGGATGGTAAAGTCCTTATAACACTGCCCATGATGTGCCTTTAAAATTCCAAATCTTGCTGGGCCTGGTAGCACACACCTTTAATCCCAGCACTGGGGAGGCAGAGGCAGATGGGTCCCTGTGAGTTTGAGGCTAGCCTGGTCTACAAAGTGAGTTCCAGTATAGCTAGGGCTACACAGAGAAACCCTGTCTTGAAAAACCAAACCAAACCATCCAACCAAACAATTCCCAAATTTGCCGGGTGGTGGTGGTGCACACCTTTAATCCCAACACTCAGGAGGCAGAAGCAGGTGGACCTCTGTGAGTTCAAGGCCAGCCTGGGCTACAGAATGGAGCCCTTCCAGGAAGGGCTCCAAAGCTACACAGAGAACCCTGTCTCAAAAAAACCAACAAAACAAAACAAAACAAAACAAAAAAACCAAAAAAACCCAAAAACACCCCCCCACAAATTCCAAATCTCCCCACCCCAGCTTATTTTTAGTTTTGTGTGTGTGTGGGGGTGGGGGGTGGGGGGGGTGGGGATGGGGGGTGGCTTGGTGTATCCAAGGAAACCAGAATAAGAAAGGCATCAGATCCCTTAGAGCTAGAGTTGCAGGCTGTTGTAAGCTGCCTGATATGGTTCCTTTGGGAGAGCAGGAAGTGCTCTTAACTTTTGAGCTATCTCTAGCTCCTAAACTCCAAATCTTGAAGGCACGAGAGAGATGATTCTCACTAGGTAACTACAGTATCAGGTGCTTAATGCTGCCTGATGGCTTACTTGGGTACCTCCACTCTGATAATTGACTAGGACTTAATGTCTTTTTGGGGTGCAGAGGAATTTTACCTCACACAATTATTGATTAAATTTGTGTGTGTGTGTGTGTGTGTGTGTGTGTGTGTGTGTGTGTGTGTGTGTGTTTACATGAAAGCCCATTAAATCATTACACAACCATTGTTGGAAGCGAGCCTGACAAGATCAGATTCACATGAGAGTGGGTGCCAACTTGAGTTCATAAACCAGAGAAAGTGGAGAAGACACTTGCCACCTTAGTCTGTAGAGGGCCATGGGATCCATGCTGAAGGCGACAGAGGGTATGGAATCACACTTTCTTGGGAAGGGTCTGGCAAGTGGCTCTCATTTCCGTGTTTGGTTTACTTTCCTGTCTCATGTCTTGAGAAGAGCCAACCCACCCACTGCCGTGTGGAGATCTGTGAGTTCCTGATGAGCCTTGCAAAGCAAAATGTGAGTGAGGGCACTACTATACTGATCAGAAGCTGGGTTTTTTTTCCCCTTGTGAATTGCCTGCCCTTAGTCAAGGAGGAAAGATATGTGGCTGTGCATCTTCATTGACATTCCTAGCAAACTTTTTACTGATTTTGGCCTTAAGGAGACACATTTTTTTTTGGATCATTTTGTATGAACACTCCCTGCCCCCCCCCCCCCCCCCCCCATGGGTATCTATTCCCCACTTTAAGAACCTTCAGTGGAGGAAGCCCACCAGCGGAAGACTCTCATTTCCTTTGCAATATGGCCCAGTTTCCAAGCTCATTTCATGTTACTATGCTGACCTATATGCTCAACACCCTTGGGCAAAGGCCTTGTCTTTGTTTATAAGCTAATCTACAGACTTTTTTTTTTTCTCTGCAGAGATTTAGTTTCACGTCAGGTGTGGGAGAATATAAGCAACTCTTCCATGAATAATGTACCCAAGAGTCATTCTGTACATACCAAGACTAACTTGTGAGGGACACAGCTACCCTAGGTCTTGGGAAAACTTCCAGACACTGAGATACAGTGGACAGACAGGATGGGGCTGGTAGTCTCTAGTTCCACTGTCCCACAGTCTAGGAATCAGGTTTATTCTGACTCATTCCAGGACATCTGACACTGTCCATACAGCCAGAGTAAGAAAAAGCTTGTAAGGATCCAGTGGCATTAGGAATAACATTTGAATTCGTGAATTAGTGAAATTTTCAATTCAACAGAAAGTGATAGCAAACTAAAATATTTCCCAAGTGGCAGAACAATCATAATCAGTTATTTTGTAACTTTATTAAGTTGGTTTTATTCAAATGCATAATTCAAAAGTGACTCAGAATATTTTATTTTACTAAGTATGGAGAGCATGCTTGTCATCTACTTTATGGTATTTGTATAGAATTATCTGATTTCCAAAAGAAAGGCAAGGTTCAAATTGTCCATGAGGGATGAATTTTGATATTACCTCACAGATGAATTACTGCTTTTCCTATCTGTATGCCATTTAATTTGGTGGGTGTGATATCACCCCCCTCACCCTCCAGGGAGACTGGTACTACTGCAAAGCCTCCAGCTATCCCAGAAGAAAGTCACAAAGCTGCTCTCAAATTTGATGCCTCCTTCTGGGGTGTAGTAATGAATACAAGCCTTCAATTCCACCACTCAGCAGTCAGAGGCAGGAGGGTCTCTGTGAGTTCTATGGCAGTCAGGACTAGAGTGAGACCCTATTTCAAACAACACCAAAACTTGATGCTTTCTTTTCTTACCATTTCACTCCAGGATTTGAATCTTGCTTTCTTGAGCAACCAAGGAAATACACACATACTTTTGGATGTATACATATATTGAAACCAGCAACAATAATCAAACTGCTGCCTCATCCCTTCTAAAATCTCTTCTATGGGCTAAATGGTTTCCAAATGAAAAGTTCTAGATTCTCTGTGTCTTGCTTTTCTTTTTCTGGATACTCACTTTACTTGGCCTCCTCCTTAAGGGTTAGTAAGGAGATCGTAACCCATTAAAGTTTGGGCAGGCAGGTCATAGAAGCACACATTTAAGGACCAGCTCATATGTTATTGTATAATACATTTTTCTCCAAGTAAAGCTTATCTTAAGCAGATTGTATACATCCCTCTGGAGAGGTGGAATGATTTTCATGGTGGAACAATAACATAGTTTAATGTTTGGAGCTTGTAAACCTATTCAGTTCTTATTTCTGACACATTTAATAATAATCACTTGTTCGCTATATTATTCAGTACTTGAAATATGCTAAGCACTGTTCAGAACATCTTCCATATATTAATGCAGTCAGTCCTCATCACCACTCAGATGAGAAAAGAGGGGCATAGCAGAAATCTGCCTAAGATCTCACAAGTGTTAGTGAGGGAGCCATGACTCAGACCTGCGTAGGTTGTCTGTATAGCCAGACTGTGAGCCACAATGCTGAGCTTACATTTAATATGACATTAGGTTCTCTAGTCCTTTTAATATGTTTTCAGAGACTTTCTCTCACTTTATTGCAACCCCCGACAGAAACCTCACTTAGGAATAGAGATCCCAATTATGATATAATAGTTCAAATGACAAATAGCAGGATTGGGAATGAGAATCTCCTGGTTTTGTTATCTGTATCATGGGTTTAAAATAATGACTCAATGCACAAAATTATTTTGAGTTAAATGACTTTGCAAAGATAAAGGTATTTGTTACATCGACAAGTTAATTTAGGTTTCTGCCATGCTTATTTGGTTCAATTATTATTTCATCTTACTGGGTATGGTGCTAGGGGACATAGTTATTCCATAAACATAAGACTTCTTCAGTTAGTTGGTCCTCAAATTAGTCCTAAGGACAGTCTTTGCTTTTTCAAGACAAAGTCTCACTATATAGCTTTTACTGTTCTGGAATTCACTATATAGGCCAGTCTGGCCTTGAACTCACAGAAATTTGCCTGCCTCTGCCTCCCAAGTGCTGGGATTAAGGGCATGCACCACCACATCTGCCTTACAGGGCAGTCTTGATGGACTCCAGGTTCCCACTGTTTAGGATTGTAGTGTACCATGTAACCCTCTGTAACTGAAGGCAAAATTTCCTGAAATCTCCCCACATGTCTTAGGGTTTCTATTACTGTGATAAAACACCATGGCCAAAGGCAACACGGAGAGGAAAGGGCCTACTCCATCTTATTATAGCTTGTACTCTGCCATCCTTGGAAGTCAGGGCAGGACTCAAGGTGTGATTCTTGAAGCAGTATCTGACGCAGAGGCCATGAAGAAATGCTGCTCATTAGCTTGCTCCCTACAGCTTGCTCAGCCTGCTTTCTTATAGCAACCAGAACCACATGCCCAGGGGTGCCACCACCCTCTGTGGGATAGGACCTCCCTCATCAATTGTTTAGACATAGTCTTGCCTACAGGCCAATCTTATGGAGGCATTTTCTCCATTGTGGTTTCCTCTTCTCAGATAACTCTTGTTATCGGGTTGACACAAAACTAGCCAGCACACCAAAAAAAAAAAAAAAAAGGAACTTGGTGGCTCTCTAGAAGGAACGTGAGCAGTGAGGTACCTGAAATCAGAGCAGACATGTTGTAGGGAGGGATCCGCAACCAGTGTGGGGGAGACCTCCTGGTGTTTCCTGGCTGTAGAGCCCTCCACTCCACTATGAACTCCTGAACAGCAGAGGCAGCTTTCCGGGGAGGCTGCCAGGTCACCACAATGTTGTTCATGTCCGCTGACCTTGCAGATACCCGGGAAGGAGCCAGCAACCCTTTGGGGGTGAGGAAGAGGAAGGACAAAATGAGAATGGATAAAGATGAAAACAGGAACTGGGGGGACATCTCAGTCGGTCAAGTGTTTGAGGACACGGGTTCAGTCCCCATATCCCACTGGGCTAGACGTGGTTGGCATGGTGGTGCACGTTGGTACTCCTAGTCCTGGGGAAGTGGGCCAGGAAGATCCCTGGGCATCTCCAGCCAGGCAGACTAGCCTACTTAGCAAGCTCCAGCCAGTGAGAGACCTTTTTTTTTTTTTTTTTTTTTTACAACAACAAACAAAAAACAAGGTAGATAGTGCCTGAGGAATGACATCTACCTAAGGTTATCCTGTGCCTATATATGCACACATGCATCTGTTCATGCATGAACACACACACACACACACACACACACACACACACACACACACACACACACACGACAGCTTATCCCAGCTCAGTCTTAGAAACCATCAATCTCTCTTTTGGGACTTCCAGGTCAAGGATTAAGTTTATGCTTTTCAGTTCATGGAGGATTAGCCTCAGCAGCTTGTCCTATAATCCTGTGTAGCTTTCTTTGTGGATTTATTTCCTCTTTGTCTTCACTTACTTCATTTCCTCAAAGTGCTTACTCCGTTAAATGTAATATACACCCTTTTAATGACCTCCCATCTGTCTCCTTAGACGGAAATGTATCACTGAAATGTAGTATGACCCTTTGCTTGGCTGTTATGTTTTTACACAACGGATTATTTTGTCAAACCTTTTCGCTTAGCTTTCTGTTTCTGGGATAGATTCATCCTCCTTCTCTGTAAACCTAGCTCACTCCCTCACACTTCTGCCTACACCCTTTTCTCATCTGCTTTCCAGTGGCCAGCAGGAGTGTGCTGACACAAAGACACAGTGACCGGTCTCTGCAGTCCCTCTTGTGCACATCCAAGACCATTCTGGATGAACATGCGCCAAACTGCTTGCTTAGGGAGTGTCCTTCTGCTTGATCTCCAAAACAGATGGATGAGAGGAGGGTGAAGCTCTTGCCCAGCCTGAGGAAGGCGCTGGACACATGCCCAGAAGGTAAAAAAATTAACAGCATGTTGACACTTCGCCAAAAGTAGCTAGCCGGAGGACTCTCACTTCACCTACACTTTGTATTTCCCTACTTTCTATGTTTATCAATTTGATATACATAAAATGATATGTGATTAGAGGTTTGATTTTCATGTTTGTGGTTTCATAAGGCCAAGCTTCTCATTGACCTTCCTTCTGTGACAATTTGTGGACTTGGCTCATTTTTCTCTGTGAGTCTGCCTTTTTATGATTGACAGGTAGCTCTGATGATCCTAATTACTTTTCAGTTTTCTACTCTCAATACAGTCAGTTAGTTCTCTGACAACTTTGTTATCTACAGTGGTGCTGGTAAATTTACCTCAGTTTTGATTTTGAGTCTTGTTTGTAAAATTCCACCACCCTGGGGCTATAAACACATTCAACTACATTGTCTTCTATTGGCCTTTACTTCTGCTTCTTATGCTTAGGTTTTCAGTCCAAAGTATAAGCTAAAAGGGTTATTTTTTAAAAGGGAAATGCTATTATTTCTTTATGATTTCCAGGGCCTGTGAGTCTGTGTGGTAAACTGCACAGACATACCTCACCTGCTGGTCCTTAGATATTCGCTTTTCCTTTCAATTCTGGGGGTAGTGGCTTCCCTGGGGTTTTACTTCTCTGATGGGTAAAAGAAGAATTGGGTAATGGGAAGAGTATGGTGAAAGTACATGGTAAATATGTATGAAAATGTCACAATGAAACCTATGAATATACACTAATAAAAATAGCAGAAAAATTCTTCTTAAGTAGAAAGGAAAGAAAGATATTTTATGCTAGCCCTCCAGTTACAAGTAGAAATATTACTAGCTAGAAAAAAAAGCCTTCATACCCTAAGAATGAAGCATTTACTTGAAGAACAATAGAAAACTATAAAGCAAAAGGCACTTAATGACAACAAAAGAAGTTTCCTATGTGCAGACATTTATTTCTATCTGCAGTGGGGGTCAGGAAGGAGGGAGGGAGGAGGAAGAGGATTATTGCCTTTTTAGTTTGTCTATTCTTTACTTGTTTGAGGACAGAGTAATAATTTTCAAATGCTGTATATGCTTACCTGGAAGTTGGAACTATTGGCACTAATTTTTAATATACGTCTATATAGATTTAAATTGCCAATAATTAATTTAGATTTTGTGTCTGTATGCACAAATGATTTAAACAATAATCTTTCCTGTACTGTCTTTATTTGCCTTTATTAATAAAATAAAATTGATCATAAAACAATTTATCCCATAAAACAGATTGGACAGCTTTCCTTGTTTTCTATTTTCTATAGGAACTTTAATAAAATAAGGTTATGTATTTTTTCAGGGTTCAGTTGTAAAGTAGTTTGTGCCTGGGCATATTTTAAAAAGCATAGAGGTGGGAGTAAGGTAGCTTTCGTTTTCAAAATGGTTACTGTGGCTGCCTTTATTTTATGTGTGTGTTTTATTTTGTGTGTGTGTGTGTGTGTGTGTGTGTGTGTGTGTGTGTGTGTGTGTGTGTACTTACACGCTAGTGTCGAAGCATATGCATGGAGGTGAGAGGACACCTTGCAGGAGCTGGGTCTCTCCTTTCACCATGTGATCTCAGGCCTAGAGCTCAGGTCGTCAGGCTTGGCAGCATAAGCCCTTTCCTGCGACTCATCTTGTCAGCCTGAGGGTATTTTTTTAAATTAATTAATTAATTAATTTATTTATTTATTATGTATACAGTGTTCTGTCTGCATGTATGACTGCAGGCCAGAAGTGGGCACCATATCTTATTGTAGGTGGTCGTGAGCCACCATGTGGATGCTGGGACTTGAACTCAGGACCTCTGAAAGACCAGCCAGTGCTCTTAACCTCTGAGCCATCTCTCCAGCCCCCCCCCAAGGGTATTTTTTTTTAGAATGAAATTTATTCATTCCATAGATACTGAGTGCTACAGTTTGCAAGACTCTTTGTCTGAGGTTGTGCTAAAATCTCCAAAAAGCCCTTTTCATCTCTACTTTATCCGGAATTTGCCAAGCAAATCAGCTTGCACCTTTCAGTACTCCTTCAACCTCTAGGTCGCTGTTCTTGCCAGGCACCAGTCTGGAATTTCCTTCTCTAGGATGTCTGCCAGACCGCATTCTTCCCTTCAGGACCCTGCTAATAATGCACCTTCTCTCAGTCACCTTCCAGAATCATCCCTTTATGTCAGGCATGGTGATGCACACCTTTAATCCCAGCACTTGGGAGGCAGAAGCAGGTGGAGCTCTGTGAGTTCAAGGACAGGTTGGGCTACAGAGTGAGCCCTTGTGTCAGAAAACAAAAACAAAACAAAATTACTTCAATCAGAATATCCTATCTCCTTGTTTCCCGAGAACCACTCTGTGGCGTTCTGATGCTTGTAAGGTACCACCTAAGAGAAAGGAGGCGACCTTTTCTATTCTGCTCTGTTGCTTACTGGATGTCTGATCTCGGATTGCTCGGATTATTCTCATTAGTGGTTCACTTTAAGTCACCAGTAATGCATCAGTATCGAAAGAAATAAAACACTTCCTCTTGGAGTCATTTAACCAAGAGAACAGATTTGAATTCTCTACTTCATGTTCTCTGTCTTCTGTCCTCTGTCTGTCCCTGTGTGTCTGTCTGTTTTGTGAGTTTTGTGTGTGTCTGTCACATGAGCTGAATGTGTCTCTGTGTCTGTCTGCTGCATGACTTGTATGTGTCTGTATGTACTGTGTGTGTCTCCGTGTGTGAATGGTGTCTATCTGACTGTATCTGTATGTGTGTCTGTCCCTTGGGGTGTGCATATATATGAATGTTTTACATAGGCAAAACACATATTCAAGTGAAATAAAAATAAGTCTTTAAAAAGTCTATGTGTAATACTTATCCACAGAGAAGAAATATTAAAAAAAATAACCAGGAGGTTGTAGGATGGCTAAGCATGCAGGATGCTGGCTGTTAAGCTGAGTTTGATCCCTAGGATCACTTGGTAGAAGCAGGGAACTTACTCCCCAAAGTTGTCCTCTGACCTACAGGCACACTGTGACATGAACATAAACACACATGCTAAATCAATAAATGGAAAACATAAAATAAAATACTTATTTATTCTTTTTGGTTTTTCAAGGCAAGTTTTCTCCGTGGTGCTCTGGCTGTATTGGATCTCGCTCTGTAGATTGGGTTGGTTCAGAGATCCTTCTAAGAGCTGGGATTAAAGGCATGGATCACGATGCCCATCTTAAAAAAGATTTTTTAAAGGAAAGAATGTACCAAAAAGTGTGTTTGGGGGGGTTGAAGAAAAATAACCTGTAATTCATATGAGGCAAAGATGATCCCTGCTAATATTTACATGGCTTCTACTAGTCTTTGTGTTTTTTTTTTTTTTTTTTTTTTTTTTTTGGTTTTTCGAGACAGGGTTTCTCTGTGTAGCTTTGCGCCTTTCCTGGATCTCACTCTGTAGTCCAGGCTGGCCTCGAACTCACAGAGATCCGCCTGGCTCTGCCTCCCGAGTGCTGGGATTAAAGGCGTGCGCCACCACCGCCCGACCTGTGTTTTTAACTATAGAAAAAAATCTGCTCATATAAATATAGATTTAAATGGAATTATCCAATATATATCTTTTAAAAAAAATTATTTATTTATTTATTTACTTATTTATTTATTTACTTATTTATTTATTTACTTATCTATTTATGTATTTATTTATGTATTTATGTATTTATGTATTTATGTATTTATTTATTTATTTATTTATTTATTGGTGTGTGTGTGAGGTGTCTCTCTATGTATTCCTGAATGGCCTAGAGTTCCCTGTGTGGACCAGGCTGGCTTTGAACTCATGAGGTTCTGCTTGCCTCTGCCTCCCAAATGCTGGGACCATGTATACTTTCAAAGACTACTTTGTTGCTTGTAATGTAAATCTTCCCACTGAATAGTTAATGGCATGCTATGTGTGATTAAGACAGGCAAAGGTCAGACGTATTTAAGAGTCTGTTCTCTATTGGACATTTAGGTCAGCTATAGTGTTATACTGCTTCAAGAAAAATTTTTTTTTTACAAAACATAATATTTATTTATTTACTTGTGCATATGTGTGTACCACAGCACAGGTTTGAAGGTCAGAGGACAAGTTGAGGGAGTCAGTTCTCTCCTTCTACCTTGTAGTATCGTGGGGATTGAACTCGGGTTATCAGGCTTGGGGCAAGTCCTTTACCTGCTGAGCCATCTCTCCAGCCCCCAAGCAGTTATTCAACAAACATCTGCATTTACATTTCTAATATTTATGCTATTATTTCCTGAAGATACACTTCTCCTTCCTTCCTTCCTTCCTTCCTTCCTCCCTCCCTCCCTCCCTCCCTCCCTTTCTTCTTTTCGTCTTATTTATTTTTGAGGTTAGTCTCACTCTGTATCCCAGGCTGGTCTGGAATTCACTATGTAGCCCAGACTGGCCTTGAATGCTGAGATTACAGGCAGGAAACAACACACCTGGCCTGACAATACATATTGACTTGTGAAATTCTATGGACAAAAGGCATGATCATATTTAGCATTTTTTATATATTGCCAAATAGTTTTCCAGAAAGTTGTACTGATTTACATACCTACGAACAACACACAAAAACAGTTTCACCGAATTGGAGCACACTCATTCTTCTCATTCTGTCAGACTGACTTGATTTTTCCATGCTTTTTCAAAATTTACATCTCATTAATTGCTAGCTAAGTTAAACATTTTCATATCTTTATTGCTCCTCTCATAATTGGTGGGTGGGGTCATGGAGATGCAATGGGGGTCAAACTTAGGGTCTTGTGTATATTATAAAGCACTCTCTGAGCTATAGCTCAGTCTGTATACAGGCTGGGCTCTCATAGTTTCTTTTTTTGAGTTGTGTGTTCATATCCTCGATATCCCATGTATTTGAAAAAAAAAGTATAGATTAATTAAAAATTAATTTAAAAAGATTAACATAGACATATAGGCAATATCAACTCTCTTTATACTAAAATGTGATATATAAT